AGAACTTCGCCAGCTGTTGCTGCATGCAAGGGACCTGCTAGGTTACCACCAAACCTCTGCAGGGGTGAGCGGGTTCCTCTCTTCCCTAAGCCTAGCAAAGATTTAGCTGAAACATCCCCTGGCCCAGAGGCCTGGGTCATCTGCCTCCAGACTTACTCCTGGCCATGAGAATCCTCCTTTGCTGAAACAAGATACTGGATGCAAAAGTGTTTTGTAAATGCTACAGCCTTGGCCTTTGGTTTTTATCCATGAAGGGTTCGCTGGGGCCTGTGGGTTGGCCCGTGAGTGGGTTTGGCAGAGCACCCCAGAATCCCGAGTCTCATGGCAGCAGGAAGTGTCTCTGACATAGCTCAAAGTCCCAGGGCTGAAGGCGCAGACTCAGATCTTCAAGTTTCCAGCCATCCTAAGAGCTGCTTGGACATCTGCCCAGGGACCAGTGTCATGGTAAAGCACAGGGGAAACAAAACTGTAAGTGCCACTGGAGCCCGCTGAGACGTCTGTCCTGTCACCCAGGAAACAATACCGGAGGCATCCGTTTGCTTGCTGCTGGGGTGCCAACACTAATGCCCTTTAGGTTACATTTTTTTTTTTTTTAATGAAACGGAGTTGTCTTGCTCTGTCACACAGGCTGGAGTGCAGTGGCGCAATCTCACCTCCCTGAAACCTCCGACTCCTGGGTTCAAGTGATCCTCCTGCCTCAGCCTCCCAAGAAGCTCAGACTGCAAGTGTGTGCCACCATGTCTATTTTTTATATTTTTAGTAGAGATGGGGTTTCGCCATGTTGGCCAGGCTGGTCTTGCACCCCGACCTCAAGTGATCTACCTGCCTTGGCCTCCTGAAGTGCTCAAAATCCCCTTTTATAGGGATTAGAGGAATGAGCCACCACACCTGGCCCCTCATTAAGTTAAAATTTAAACTCAGAAAAAAAAAACAGGAAAGGGTGGGCACAATTCTGGCTAACCTGGAGCCCAGGGAAAATGGGACAGAGTTGGCGGGGGTGGTCTGGGGGGGAGGGGGTGTAGAGTAGGGGGCACACAGCAGCGACAGATGGCATCTGCCCGGTGACTGTCCTGCAAACACTGGCATGCGGTCCGTAATGAGTCACACTGGACTCCTAGGGGCTGGGTCCACGCCCCGTAAGCTGCAAAGGCAGAATCTGTGGAATGGATTAAAAACATGTCTTTTCCAAATAAAACCAGGGATGATTTTAAGCAATTAAAGTGCCTTTGTAAAATATGTGGCAGGTCTCTGTGCCTGAGACCCTCGTGTGTTTTGGGATAAGGGTCGGCCATGCTGCCCCTCATTCCCAGGCTGGGCTTGGTTGGCATAGTATCTTCCCCAATGAATATGAGGCTGCGAGACCTCAAAATAGCGACCTGGGCATATTTACCTCTGTATCACCAGCTCCAAAGAATAGTCACCTTTACTAATGGCAATCATAAGAAGTGGATTCTCAAGTGCCTGGCTCATGCCCAGCAATGAGTGTGATTAAGTGCCAAGATTCAATTAATCCCGCAATCATGCCAGGTGATGGATACTATTATTACGCCCATTTTACAGATGAGGAAACTGAGGCATGGGATCTATTAATAAGTGACTTGCTCACATGGTCAATGAGTGCTTCAGGCAGGGTTTGACGCCCCATCTAATGCTAAGGATGGAGCAAGATCCCACAACAAGCGGCAGGGCCAGAGGCACCTCTGACCCCAGACTTAGCTTCCCAGAGGCTGACTTCGATGAGACACCATCTCATCTCCTTGAAGATGGCAAACAAAATGACCAAACTCCTGCAAAGTGCCTGGCCCTGTGCCAGGGGATTTACACATATCTCTAATTTGATTCTCAAAACACCCTGAAAAAGTAAACTCTAATGCCCCCACTCCACAAATGAGGCAACTCAGGTTCTGAGAGGTAAGGTCACTTGTCCAAGATGGTAACAGCTAGAAAGTAGCAAAGCTGAGAGCCACACCCGTGGATCTGGAGTATTCCTTCTCTATTCCTTCTCCACCTTCTTTCACTCTGCAACAATATTTGCACAGTGCCAGCCTCTTCTGCGCTGTGAGCGTCCTAAGATCTATGAAGCTGGCCGGTATAAGACGCACCAAGAGGCCAGGCGCGGTGGCTCACGCCTGTAATCCTAGCACTTTCGGAGGCTGAGACAAGCAGATCATGGGGTCAGGAGATCAAGACCATCCTGGCCAATATGGTGAAACCCCGTCTCTACTAAAAATATAAAAAATTAGCTGGGTGTGGTGACATGCGCCTGTAGTCCCAGCTACTCGGGAGGCTGAGGCAGGAGAATCACTGGAATCTGGGAGGCAGAGGTTGCAGTGAGCTGAGATCGTGCCACTGTACTCCAGCCTGGGTGACAGAGCGAGATGTACCAATGATTTAGGGGCCACCAAGGAAGGAAGAATACTGCCAACTAACTGTGACGGGGAAACGCGCGGGTTTCAGACGTGCTGCAATGCAAAAAGTGCACCTTTTAGAGTTTATGAAATACAGGATGTGCTCATAGGGACAGCACTGTGAGGCTGGCCGGTCTGATGGCATCATCGTCACTCTGATCATGCACATGAGGCCCCAGGTATGTTCACCTGGCTTTGGCTTTGACCTAGGTATACCCAGTACCTTCCACAGAGCCTAGAACACAAGACGCTCAGAGGAAATATCCTGTAAGGCCAGGAGAAGGAAGCAGCAAAGGAGGACTGGCTTTATGCTTCCCCCAGCAGGGGCCAGGACCGATGCAGCCTGCAGCTGCTGGAGCTGAACAGGTATGTGTATGTGGGCAGGGGACACTGTGAGTGACACCTGTGGGCAGAGGCTGAACCCAGGTCCCTACCTAAGGGAGTGGTACAGCAGGCAGGTGCATTTTACGGCACAGCTGGGGAACAGTATCCCAGTGCAGGGGGATGGGAGTGAGAGGTTGCATGGTGATCCTGAGCTGAGAGACCAGGAAAGGGTAAGCTGATGACCCGAAGGCAATGCCTGTCCCCCACCCCTTTTTCCCAGCTCTCTTTCTTGCTAGAATGTGAACATAAAGGACACTGCCTGAAAAACAATCACACAGGGTGCTGGGCCCCTCTCACTTGGCCGCCCCATTGGACAAAACAGGTTATTTTTGTTTTGTTGGTTGACCTTTGCTTTATTTTTAAAAAACGGCTTTACTGAGATATCATTGGTATGGGATAACCTGCCGGTAATTTGAAATGCACAATGAGCTAAGCTTTGACGTATGTAGACACCCTGACACCATCACCACAATCAAGATAATGAATCTATTCATGGCCCCCAAAGGGATGAGTGGATTTTGACCGACACCCCCAAACACAAGTTGCCAGAGCTGCTGTCAGTTGGAGCAACAGAGATGAAAAGAGCTAACCAGTGCCTACCGGACCCACAGGCTTCATTTTGCATTTTACATGCATGATCCCACCTGGAAAGCTCTGGGGGTGGGGGCAGATGCTCACATTTTCGACGTTATCCCAAAGGCAGGAGGCTGCCAGGCTAATGAGTGCCACGTAACCCGAGTCCGAATCCCAGCTGTGTCCCTTCCCAGCCATGGGGCCTTGGTTTCCTTTCTTTACCTGTCTGTGCCCTTCTGTCACCTGGGGATAAAAGAACACCCTCAACTGTGTGTGTGTGTGTGTGTGTGTGTGTGTGTGTGTGTGTGTGTGTGTGTGTGTGT